AGAGCTCCCTCTGTGCACACACCCATGCACACGTACCCAGGGAAAGGCCGTGCGAGCACAGAGCAAGGAGCTGGCCCTTCTGCAAACCAGGAAGTGTCCTCACGAGAAACCAAGGTGTCGGCACCTTAATATGGGGATTCTAGCCTCTAGAACTGTGAGGAAATTTGTTGTTTAAAAAGGTACTCAGTCTGTGTTTTATTCCGGCAGCCCAAGCAGACTGAGACACACACCAATTTCCTCTTCCTGTCATGTAAATTCTTCTGTCAAGAACACTACTTCCGTTTTGCCCAACTTCTTGCTTATCCTTGAGGCTTGAGCTTAAATAAGTATCACTTCCTCAGAGAAACCTTCCCTTGCTCCCTGATCTGCCTTATACCCCCATTATATTCTCTTACTTTCTCTTCAGAAAGTTAGTTTTTATTTGTTTCTTTCACGTCTAACACCCTAGACTAAGAGTTCCATGGGCCAGGGCTGGGCTGGTTTGGCTGACACTTGGTAGGTAGGCATGTTTTAAGTATTTGTTGAAAGAATGAACTGTCATCATAACTTATTACAATTATTTTTTATTGTTCTTTCCCAAACTAGACTGATTGCCTTCTGAGCAGGAGCTGGTTGAATGTACAACTGATATTATACAGACATTTGTTGTTTGCACTAGAGGACTGGGCCAGCCCTGGGATTCATGCTTGAAAGCACAAGGGATATACAGGATCCTTTAGATCTCTGAGGATCTAAAGATGCAGATTCTGGTTCACTAAGTCTGGAGAGATGCCTGAGAATCTGCATTTTGCACAAGCTCTCATGTAATGATGCCAGTGGTCCATGGACTGCAGTCTGCATAGATAAGAATACTCTAAATCTTTCCTAGTTCTAACTTTCTATGATAAAACTATACACTGTATGTACAAACTATGCACTGTATACACTGTATGTATGAACTATACACTGTATACACTGCATGTACAAACTATACACTGTATATACTACAATGTATAGACTATATATACTACAATGTATATATAACAATATATATATTGTTTTTTATAAAAACAATGTCACTTGTTTAACTTACTTCCAGGGAAATCCTGTCCAGATTCCTTTTCTAATCAATCGCATATGGGAACATATTTCAGTCCTTTAATTATTGCTACTCCTTGAATCCTTTTCTGTAATGAGACTTAGTCTACTTTGTGAATACCATGTCCACTTCAAGCCCCAGGCAGAGATGTGTTTGGCCTTCGGGCCCCCGAGTAGGCCCTCCTGCTGAAATGGCTTCTTATACCTTCACTCCTTCCACGGCAGCGGGCTCTTAATTATTTGTTATGTTTATATCCGATCTTTCAAACTGTCACTATATTTAACAAGGTTTTCTTGAGGTTAATTTACTTTTCAAATATTCTTCTTCTCTTTCCTCACTATGTTAAGCCCCTTTAGTTTTTTTTTTAATTAAAACAATTTTTTTTTGGTTGTGCTGCATGGCATGTTGGATCTTATTATTAGTTCCCTTACCAGGGACTGAACTTGTGCACCCTGCACTAGAAATGAGGAGCCTTAACCACTGGACCACTGGGGAATTCTAAAACTCTTTTAGTTCTAAACTCAACAATATGTATACTTAACATTTTCTACTTTGTAAAGTTCATAAAACTCTTCCCCTGTTTCTCATAAGAAAGAGCATTAAAGCAAAGTGTTGACTGACACACAGTAAGGTCAATACACAAATAGTTCTTTAGAAAGAATTTTGACATGATACTGAATATGAAAATTTATTCTCCAGGCTTCCCTGGTGGCTCAGTGGTAAAGAATCTGCCTGCCAATGCAGGAGATACCAGTTTGATCCCTGGTCCTGGAAGATCCCTGCGGGGAGCCAGCCTGACTGCTCAGGCTCCTTCTTGGCTCTGAGAGAGATCAAGAGGTCCCTCTCTGTCCCGCCACCCCTGATTTATTAAAGCACAGGTTGGCCTTTCTCACCTCCCTCAAGGAAATTGCTGTAGCGATCTTTCACCTGTTTTCCTGGTGCTGATAAACTCGTCATGATTGAAGCCTGTTTTCTATTGATCTCAGTCATGTTGGGTGCTAGGGTAATACTTTACTGATCTTAAGTGGAGGAATTTAAAACATCTGTGCCTGTAGCTCTGCACATATGCAAACCTTTAATCTATTAGTAACTCCTGTTAGCATATATATAGGTGTGGTATTCTTCAATAAAGTTGGCAGAGTCAGACGCAAGCTGAGTCTGTCCCTCTCAACCCCATCTTTCTAAGTCTGTCTAAGTCTTATATTTCTCAGGTACTCTGGTAATTGCGTTCTCGACCAGTTCGTTTGCCGGCAGGCTCCGGCAGATCCCAATACCGGGAAGCAACTAAGGCCGTGCACCCCAACTATTATTCCTGCGCTGTAAAGCCTAGGAGCTGCAACTACTGAAGCCCATGTGCCCAAGAGCTTTGTTCTGCAGCAAGAGAATCCATCACGAGAAGCCTGCACACTGCAACTAGAGTAGACCCCGCTCGCCACAACTCGAGGAAAGCCCACATGGCAACAAAGACCCAGCACAGCCAAAAATAAATAAAATAAAATAACAAAGAAAATCTATTTTCCTTCTTCCATGCATATAATTGATTGACAGCACTGCCGATGGCCCCGCACAGTACCAGTACCTAATAATAACAGGACAGACTTGGGCCCTGAACTCGCAGAGCTGACAGCACCAGAGCTTTTGCTTGGCTATCTTTTGTTTCAAATCGTTTCTTGGCCCAATATCCAAGTGTTATTCATTTTCTTTCCTTGGTTCCCCACTGTTAAGGGTATGTAGATGGAAGCTCCTATTTTTTTTTTTTTTTAGTATGATCATACAAATCAACAAGTATGGACTAGGGGTGCTTCTCCTTGTGCAGAAGTTGTGATATGGATATATAAGATGTCTCAGTCTGAGGAAGCTCCCAAGCAGATTGTGGAGAGAAGGAAGAGAAGAGTTACATTCAGAAGTAATTACAAATTAAGCTATGGTATCCAGCATAAAATTATAAACGGAGAAAAGGAAGAGAAAAAAAGCACAAGGGTCTGGAAAGGCTTAATGAAGAACTGGGATGTGAGCTGAGAAGGGTTCATATGGATGGGGAGGAAAGGAAATGAATCCCAGTAGAAGGCACTGTGGAGTAGCAGACAGGACTCTGCCTGGAGCCAGGCATACAAAGACTCTGATCCTGTGGCGCCTTCTTGGACTTCTTATACAAAAGAAGAGACTGGGTTAGAATGATTTAAAAGGTCCACGCAAGTTCTATGAGCATCAGTTTATTGGTGCTTATCTAGAAGTATTTATTGAAGGGATGGGAGACTGAGGATTAATAGGAATAGGAAGATTCTGAGGTAGTTTAGGTGTGAAAAATTGGGGGTAGGGGGTAGGGGAATACTTGTCTTTTCCCTAAAAATAAATTCATATTCATTATTTAAAAAAAATTAAGTGCACCAAATCCTCTGGGTTAAAATATTCACACAGTCCCCTTCACCTTGTGTCAACTGGCACAAAAGAATTCTAGAACAATGTGGTCCAAAGAATATTTCCAGAGAAATATATATTGAAAGAATTCTGGGCTTAAAAGTAGGATCCTAGGGGAAGTTTTGGCTCTATCATTTATTGGCTGGGTGATACAAGATGAGTCACTTGACTTCTCTGAATCTGAGTTTTCTCAGTCATAAAATAGGTCAAGAATGCCTTTCTCAAAGGAATGCTTTAAGGATCAAACAAGATAATGTTTGTGAAGATGGTTTATATGCTATCAAGTACTAAACAAATATATTTGCACATAGGTAAGATCATAATTGGACAAACAACTCGGTCTGGTCTTGGGCATTCAACCATCCAACTAAATGTTCGCCATGGGCCAAGTTCCATGGTGGGCCCTGAGAACATTAAGACTCTGAAGAACTCTGCCTTCACCGAGGTCCTATTCTAGCTGGGCGGTGTATGTAATGTTTTTACAGAGGTGATGATAGTTAAACCTGTAAATTTAAAAACAACTTCAGGTTTTAATTATTATGTAAACTGAAACCTCCTTTAAGGATTTAAGTCAGCTTAGGGCAGTCAAATTCATAGACACAAGAAAATAATAGAAGGGCAGTTGCCAGGGGGTAGGGGTGAGGGAGGAAGAATGGGAGTTAGTGTTTAATGGGTCCAGGGTTTCAGCTTGGGAAGATAAAAAATAGAGTTCTGGAACGCGCTTCCCTGGTGGTTCTGTGGTAAAGAATCTGCCTGCCAGTGCAGGAGACATGGGTTCGATTCCTGGTCCAGGAGGACCCATGTGCCTCGGGGCAGTTGAGCCCGTGTGCACAACTCCTGAGCCAGCCCGTACCCTAACGCCCTTGATCCACAAGTGAAGCCAACGCAACGAGAAGCCAGCACACTGCAACTAGAGCGCAGAACTTGCTCTCCTCAACTAGAACAAAGCCTGAGCAGCAATGAAGAATCAGCATGACTAAGAAAAGAAATAAGTATTTTTAAAAAATAAGAAAAAAAAAAAAGAGTTCTTGAATGGATCATGTTGATGTTTGCACAACAATGTGAATGGATGTACTTAATGAAGGGATAATTAGGAAATTTGGGATGGACATGTACATTCTGCCATATTTAAAATGGATAACCAAAAAGGACCTACTCTGTAGCACAACGAACTCTGTTCAATGTTATTTGGAAGCCTGGGTAGGAGGGGGGTTGGGGGAGAATGGATACATGTATTATGTTTGGTTGAGTCCGTTTGTTGTTCGCCTGAAACTTTCATGACATTTTTAATTAGCTGTATCCCAGCACAAAACTAAAAGTTCAAAAATAAATAAATAAATAAAAATACATGAGAACTTCTAAAATATTTAAAAAACGGTATCAATAGTAAAGTTTATGTTATGCATTAGTCACTACAATTAATGATTAGTAATGATTAAATAATGATTAGTAATTTAAATAATAACTTAAAGCTAATCTGAACCAATCTTAAATCAGTACTCACGAAGGAGCAATGTCCAGATGGTTGATGCTAAATCCAGAAGAGCAAAAGCCTCCCAGTGTTGTTGATATGGTTAGGAATGCAACAGCCAAGGAATAATCGCAGCCTATAAATCCTGCGGCAACCAGGAATACCGCAGGTCCAATCATCCCTGGAGTTAAAACGTTATAGAAAGAAAAAAAGAAGCCCCAGCATTAGTATTTGCTTACTCTTTAATTTGATATTACTGCCACCTACTGTAAAAACATTGTACTGCCTGGAAGACTCAGCTTCAATTATAGTTTCATAAACAAAGGAAATCAGTCCTGAATATTCATTGGAAGGACTGATGCTGAAGCTGAAACTCCAATACTTTGGCCACCTGATGCAAAGAACCAACTCATCTGAAAAGACCCTGATGCTGGGAACGATTGAAGGCAGGAGGAGAAGGGGACAACAGAGGAGGAGATGGTTGGATGGCATCACCGACTCAATGGACATGAATTAGAGCAAGCTCTGGGAGTTGGTGATGGACAGGGAGGCCTGGCGTGCTGCAGTCCATGGGGCTGCAAAGAGTCAGACACAACTGACTGAGGGACTGAATTGAATTGAACTGAAATAAAAAGTGGTGGAAAATATATAGGATTAATGCAACTATTATAAAAGTTAAAAAATCTCTTTATGCAATGTTATTAAATTTACACGTGACCAGGACTCAGCTAACGTTCTACAATGTTTGAGAAAAGAGCAAGAGAATGACTAAAACATATGGTTCCAGAGAGAGGCAACAGTTGATACAGAATATGATTCAAAATTCACATAACCAAAGAAGGTAAACTAAACAATAAACTCTGTTAGATAAGGTTAGGAAAATACTCCATCTAGGTTTTGACAACTCCAAGTGGTATGTGGAGATTATTACAGGCAGTTAAGCGTAACATAAAAGTAATATAGGAAGGGATGTAATGAGCAGCTGCTGTGTTTCCTGAGCCTATAGCAGGGCCATCCAGAAACTCTCTGTGATGATGGAAATGTTGTATTTGTCGATACTGCAACCAAGGAACTTATTAGTTGTTCTACATCGTTTTAAAATTCACTTTTCTGAAATCAGAGTCTGAAACATACGATTATTTAAGGTTCCTTCGAGTTCTTTGATTTATGGGTCCTCATTTGCTATAATGATGCTAATATATATTTTTGATTGAAATTTAAAATAGAAAAGGGATGGAGACTTTCTTATTTTCATTGCAAACTTAGAGTTGAAAACAAAATGATTTATAAAAATTCTGGGGAAGATATTCAGCAAAGCAAGCCATTTTTTTTATAGTTGTAAGAGTATGGTAGAGATAACAGGATATTATAAATCTTAATCCTCAAAATGCATCATTCAAAAAGAACCATCTTATACAGACATGTACTACATGCATTAAAATATATTGTTTTGATATGTGAACAAATAACTAATATTATCACTTTTACTTTGCCTTTCAACATAAACACAGTAAATAATTGTAAACCAAAACAACATGATTCATTTTTACCTACCTATAAGGCTAAAAACTCTTCGAACCCATAGAGTTGAAAAATTCCATCTTGCCCTTAAATTGTCAGCAGCTTGACCAGATAGGATCATACATAACCAACAGCCTAAATAAGGGACTGCAGATAAAAACCCATTCTGGAAGGAATAAGAAGATCCAGGATTAATTATGGAGGGAAGAAGAACCAAAATAACACATACACACACACATACACACATACCCCTACCACCACATGAAAGCAAATACATAGCAGTATTCTGCTAATTTTTATATAATATAGTAAATAAGTTTGGTTTTTAGGATTATGGGATTCAGCTCAATGCAGTCCCAGAGAGCCTGTCTCACAGGGAACCAGAGTCTAGAACTAGACTCCCCATAGTCTAGTCTGCTTAGGGTGATCTTGAATGCTATTTTGGGATTTGGGCTCTAGCTTCAGTGAGAGAGGATGTCTTCCTATTAGCCTAGGGTTTCTCCCGCGGGACAGTCTTAATTTATTTATTTTGAAAACATTTTTTAATTATAAAATTCAGAGAAAATCACATAAGGCAAATGTACAGCTTAACGAATTATTTTAAAGTGAGCACCATCCAGATGCTGTTAGAAGCTGCTCTCTTCCGGCTTCTTGCTTGAGGATGCCCAGACCTACTCCAACTGCATCAGTGCCGGGCACTGATGAAGGCGCAGTAACCCAAGAGGAGCCCAGGGCTGCCCCCCACCCCGTCCAGGGCGACGAGGATGCATGGAAGAAGCAGATGAGGAGTTTCCCATCATACTTTGTCCCCTCTGTATCGGGTCCCCGCGGCTCCCCTGGCAGTCGCCCCAGTGGCCCTGACCCACCAGCTCCCTCTGCTGATGTCCAATGGTTTGATTTCTGTCCTGTCTAAGGCAGGACACAAGGGCCTCAAGCTCTATTCCTTTCCCCGTCTGACATGGGGTTTGAATGCTGGGGTTTTTTGTTTATTTTGTTCTGAAATTAAAGTACACAACATAAAGAAGATGCAGTTTTAAAAAAACAGTGCCTGGAGCACTCGCACATGCTTCGAGCAGAGGACAAAGGTGGTGGGTGATAGAGAGAGCTCTATTTTTTCCCCTCTTCCTTTACAACACTTCCTAAACAAAACGAAAAAACCATGAGATATGAAACAGAATGTCGCATGGAAATGTGTTATTTGTTTTGATGTGACTGCTTTTCAGGAAATCACCCATTCTGTAAAATGAAGAAAGCATACTACTCAAAAAAAATATTTCTTTCTTCTGTTTATTTTTCCTTTAAGCACAACCTGAGGTGCCAAGCCTAAATGACCCAATTCTGATAAAAACAAAGGTTTTTCAGAAACAGACACAAACTTAGAGAATGAACTTATGGTTGCTGGGGGAGGGGAAGATGGGTGTAAGGGACAGTTAGGGAGTTTGGGATGGCCGTGTACACGCTGCTGTAGTTAAAATGGATAACCAACAAGGACAGCACAGGGAACTCTGCTCAATGTTATGTGGCAGTCAGGATAGAAGGGAAGTTTGCGGGAGAATAGATACATGTATGTTTGGCTGAATTCCTTTGCTGTTCATCTGCAACTATCACAAGATTGTCTGTTAACTGGTTATACCCCAATACAAAGTAAAAAGTTAAAAAAAGAAAACTTTTTAGTCTGAGAGAGATGGGTACACCTGTTAGAGATTTACAAACACCAAAAAGGTAGAAAGATATTTTATCATTGATATTAAAATCTGGTAATAATAATTGTTTTTCCAGGAAAAACAATTATTATTCTTCTTGTATTTTGATTTGTTCTGTAGTTGGTTCTGGATTTTTGTTTCTTTTTTCTCTGTTGCTGCAGTTGTTGATTTTATTATTACTATTAACTCTCTTTAAGCTTCTGAGAAATATTTTTTATTTTTAAAAAAATTAATTTATTTTAAGTGGAGGAAAATTACAATATTGTGATGGTTCAACATGAATTGACCATAGGTATATATGTCCATCCCATCCTGGTAATAATTTTATCTAATAAATAAAGTCTATTTGTCTAATAAAAAAATCCCATCTAATAAATACATTCTATCTATCTAATAAATCTGGTAATAATTCTATCTAAGCATTATTAATGGAATAGATCAGCAAAACTTGTTAATATTTTAAATTTAAGTGTGCTTAAGAAAAAACTGAAATTTTCCCACAGTCTGTGATCTATTTTCAGATGTTGCATGCTTCCAGTTCCACTTCCACGGCTAAGTATTTTTGCTTTTTTCTGGTATTGAGTAATTTCCTCTTTAAATTTCTTCCATTTAGAATTTTGCATAGTGGGGGACTTCCTTGGTGGTCCAGTGGCTAAGACTCCAGCTCCCAATGCAAGGGGCGCAGGGTTCAATCACTGGTCAGGGAACTAGATCCCACAGGCCACAACTAACAGTTCACATGCTGCAACTAAGACCCAGTTCAGTCAAATAAATAAATAAATTAATTAAATAAGAGATACCAAAAACAAAAAGAATTCTGCAGAGTGGGACCACATCTATTGTTGTTTGTGGCAGAACCTTACACATGAATGAACTGTAGCAAATAGAAAAGAGAATTTTCTGATCTTGGCCTTGTCCTCTGCTGGGCTAAGACAATCACTGGTTACTGAATTTTTCCACTTAAAATTCCAGTGGTAAAAACTCCCTGGACAACCTAAAACTGCTAAAATCTTCAACATTTACACCACATATATACGTCTGTGGCTGTCTTCCATAGTTATTAAGCATTCTGTTCAAGGATATAGTTCCTTGTATTCATTTATTTTAAAAATTGATTCCAAAATGGCAATATTCAAAACAGGCTAACAGATACTGCTTCAACCTCACTGAGCTGTAAGAAATAGGGACATTAGGAAAAAATGAGGAAAAAGTACAAGTGATTATAACTAACAAAACTAAACTTATATAATAAAGCAAATGATCAGATCTTTAAATTTTTTAATTAACGAGATTATAATTTAAATACAATGCATCTCAAATCAAGCTTTATTTTGAACAAAGGCTGTTTCATGAATGTAGTATGCTGATTTTTCAAGGAAAAAGCCATTAAAAAAGAGGCTCTATATAACAAGAGAATTATTTTCAAACTCTATTCACATTTCTTTTAATTTTGATTCAAAAAGAAAATGCCTTTTTTTTGTTTGTTTTGGTATGAAAATGCCAAGAAAAAAGATTCTATTTTTTTTTTAAGATTCTAAAGTCTCTCAGTACAGAACTAAAAAAAATTAATGAAAAATAAATGAAGGCAATTGAGTACATATACTAATTACCAGTCAACTATTGATACTGCATTCTTTTTATAGTTCTCCTGGGAAAATTTCAAAAAAGCAGCATCAAGTGGCTTGATCCTTAAATTTGCATGCAATTTGTCACTACGGTAGGAGACTACAGTCAAGCTCTGTTAACAGAGAGCTTAGGAAAAATGAGGTTGCTTGCAACAAATCCATCCCAAGCTATGGGTAAAACCTCAGTTCAGTTTAACTTCTGTTAATGCAATTGGTGGATATATTTCAGTATAATGGATTTTGTTTTTCAAAAGTAGCTGGAGAGTTCTTCACAGCTTAGCCGTCTAGGTGAAGTCTAAGGTTTGGTCCACGTGGCCAGCGTTTTCAGTATGCTTTGGAAGTGAGGTGACTGCAGGTTCACTTGAACAGTGTTGATGGCGTTAGGTCCATGTAACCCCTGCAGTTGTGCCCTCAGCCTTGCTGTCTTTACATTCACCACCCAGGCTGCTGCTTTTTCTTCCAGGGCTTCCCCTCTGGCTCAGTAACAGTTATTGGGGGGATGGGGGAACATACCATATTTTATTTATCTGTTCATCAGCTGATACCATTTGGGTTGTTTCTACCTCTTGGTTATTATGAATAATGATGTTATAAGCTTTTGTGTACATGTACATGTTTTTGCGTGCACATATGTTTTCAGTTCTCTTGGGTATAGACTCAGGAATGGAATTAGTGGGTCATAGTAACTTTATGTTTAACTTTCAGATGAACTGCCAAACTGTTTTCCACGGCAGCTACACTTCACATCCTACCAGCAATGTATGAGGGATCTGTTTCCTCTGCATCCTCACCAACACTTGTTATTTTCTGTTTTATTTTATTTTATTTTTTTGATTCTAATAGGCATGAAGTGGTGTCTCATTATGGTTTTGAATTCCATTTCTGTATTGAGTAATAGTGTTGAGCATCTTAACATGGGTTTATTGGTCATTTGCATATTTTCTTTGGAGAAATGTCTATTTAAATCCTTTGCCCATTTAAAAAATTGGGTTACTTATCTTTTTATTATTGAATTGTATAAATTCTTTACATATTTGGAATACTTCTTATCAAATATATGATTTGCAAATATTTTCTCCCATTCAGTGGACTTTCATTCTTGATAATATCCTTTGAGGCAAAATAGCTTTCAATTCTGATGAAGCCCAACTTATCAGTTTTTTATTTTGGTCATATGTGCTTTTGGGGTCATATGTGGGAAGCTGTTGTCCAGTGCCAGGTCACAAAGATGGACATTTCTAAGAGTTTTATCATTTTATCTCCTAACATTTATGCCTTTGATTCATTCTTCATATGAAGACAAAAAACACTACCAAGTTTTCTTACAAACTCTGCCTCTTTCTCTTTATGTTTTTCTTCAATTTCTTTAGAGACAAAATCCATCAACATAGAGATAATAGGAATTGTCTCCATTTGATGAGATCAGAAGGAACTGACAGTTTTCGGGAGGTCTGACTTAGACAGCTTTACAACTATAGCTCTGCCAATGCCTGGAGAGCATTATAAAGCAACCTCTGTACAATAATCTCGTGTCTTCCAATACCCCACTCGGCTGCCAGCAGACTCCTGCCACCATCCCTTTTAGAAGCGAATACAGTTATCACCTGCAGGGCTACCCTGGCGACTCAGACGGTAAAGAATCTGCCTGCAACACAGGAGACCAGGGTTCAATCCCTGGGTCAGGAAGATCCCCTGGAGAAGGGAATGGCTACCCACTCCAGTATTCTTACCTGGAGAATTCCATGGACAGAGGAGCCTGGTGGGCTACAGTCCATGGGGTCATAAAGAGTCAGACACGACGGAGTGACTAACATACACACATACACATACGCACACACACACACTACCACCTGTATTTGTCACCTGAGATCCTGGCATGTTACTGGGCACTAGTAAGACCTTCACAGTTAAAGGGGATACTAGCCACGACACCCTGAATCAAGAGTTAACACACACAGAGGAAAGGAACAAGCAAAGCTAAAAAGAGAAGTCTCTAGAATTTAGTATACCAGAGTAAAACGGAAGATGCAAAATAACTGAGTTTCACATAGACAGGAACAAATTCTGTATATTCTCTATAAGAAGTAGATGCTTATTTTTTCTTACCTCTTGAATGTTGAACCTTAGGACTTCCTTCATGTAAGTAGGCAATAAGGTCAATAAAGTATAAAAAGTCCAGTTGTAAGAAAAATGTGCAACTACAATAGACCAAAGTGGCAGTGATTTCAGCATGGGTATCCATGGCACTGACTTCTGTGAAGAGAGCTAGAAAACAGACAAACACCAGGTGTAATTGGGATAAGCTACAGCTATGTTTGGGCTTCCCTGGTAGCTCAGCTGGTAAAGAATCTGCCTGTAATGCAAGAGACCCCGGTTCGATCCCTGGGTTGGGAAGATCCCCCAGAGAAGGGATAGGTTATCCACTCCAGTATTCTTGGGCTTCCCTAGTGGATCAGATGGTAAAGAATCTGCTTGCAATGCGGGAGATTTGGGTTTGATCCCTGGGTCAGGAAGATCCCTTGGAGAAGGGCATGGCAACCCACTCCAGTATTCTTGCCTGGAGAATCCCCGCAGGCAGAGGAGCCTGGCGGGCTACAGTCCATGGGGTTGCAAAGAGTTGGACATGACTTAGTACAGCACAGCACAGCTATGTTTAAATCTGTATCTTATCAGCTAAAGTTTCATCTAGAACACATTATCAATCTTGGCTAGTAAATCTAAGGTTTCTGAAACAACGCTTTTGCAATAGAAACTCCATGACTCAGATTAGAAGGAAAAAACAGAAATCTAATCTTAGAACTCAAAGGTCAAACTGAAAATGCCTTAGAAGTGTCAGAAGTCCCCTGAAGTATTAATTTCTCCATCTTAAAAATAGAGGACAGTTTAATAATCCAATTCAGAGGCTGACATAAGGGCCAAGGTAAGAGACTGGAAGTCCTATTAGAATTCATATTTCATTCTCCAATCTTTATTCGATTACAGTGATTTATAAGAACTTTGCAATAAAAGGTTTCTTATGTAGCAATCTGGAGTAATGGTCTTCAAAGCAGGGTATAAACATCCCAGGGGTAGCAAGATGATCCTCCACAGCGTGGAAAGGCATACTAGATCTATCCATACTCACTATACTCATTTTAAAACAAGAAATTAGGCTCTATTCATATTTAGCAAATAGGTTGGCTCTGGAATATGTCAGATATATTGTCTGATATATGTCTGTTATGTCATATTGTCTGATTTCCCCAATCAAAAGGGGTTTAACGGTGTCCTTACTTGTTGGTCTGCCCTCAGTGTAGTATTACAGCACACTTTAGTTTATACCTGCCTTTCAAAATGGATTTATGGGTTTCATTAGCCAGTTTTAATGAAAACAGATCTACAGAATTAACAAGGGCTTCCCTGGTGGTTTAGTGCTTAAGCATCTGCCTGCCAATCCAGTGACCCGGGTTTGATCCCTGGTCAGGGAAGATTCCGCAGGCTGCAGGGCGGCTAAGCCCACTTGCCACAACTACTGAGGCCACACACCTAGAGCGCGTGCTCTGCAATGAGAGAAGCCACCGCAATGAGAAGCCTGTGCACCACACCTAGAGAGCAGCCCCTGCTGGCCCCACTGGAGAAAGTCCACACGCACCAAAGGAGACCCAGCGCAGACAAAAAAAAGTCTTCAAAAGATTCATCTGAGAAGGTAAACAGACGTCTAATAACGAAAGCATGAGTGAATGCTAAGAAGATAGTAGAGTTGACACTTTTCTTCATGAGCCCTTTGTCAGCTACCACACCAAACAAAATGATGGCAGGCTCATCAATACTCCATATTCAAACACACTATTCCCATTAAACAATGTATTATTATTAATTTTGAAGTGACCAAAAGCTTTTTCTATTAAAATTTATGTATATAGTGTTTATTTCATCTTACCCATCCTTTAAAGAGTCTGTCTTTATGTAAATTTTATAATGTATGAAAGTACAGAAGTGCATGTAGATAACCATAAAAATATGCATATGTCCAGATTGTTATCCCCCACACTGTATTTTTTAAAAATGTATTTATTTACTTGGCTGTACCAGGTCTTGGTTGTGGCACTTAGGATCTTCAGTTGTTTGTGGCAATGTGACATCCAGCTCCCTGAGCAGGGATCGAGCCTGGGCCTCCTGCATTGGGAGTACAGAGTCTTAGCCACTGGACCACCATGTAAGTCCCCCCGCTTTACTGATGCATGATTAAGTAAAGCCTGGAGACCACTGGCCTGAGAAATCAATTCCTTACATTTCCTGTATACTGAGACTCTGCTCTGTCTTCTTCAAAAGCTGGAGCAATCTATGTTTCCACCCCTAGGGTGCACTATTATTTCAAAAAGGGGAAGAACCAGTATTAACTTTAGAGCCTTTTTCTAGGGACTTTTGATCTGATTTGGTAGATATGCTCTTGTGATTCCCCCCATGTATCAAAGATGTAGGGGACATGTGGGAAGAGAAGGAGAGGGGACAGTTATTCTTATATAGCAGTGCTTCTCGATTCCAGCTACACTTCAGAATCACCTTTGGCACTTCAAAATTACAGTTGGCTGTGTTCTACCCCAGACTTGCTGATTCAAAGCCAAAGTCAAACTTCTGAGTGGAGGGCCAACGTGTATATTTTAAAAGGCTTCCCTGGTGATTCTACACTGCAGTGGTTCTCAAACTTTGCTGCACATTAGAATCACCAGGAGAGCTAAAAATCCCCAGAGCCAAAATCACACCTGAGACCAATTAAATCAGGTTGGGAGGTGGGTGGGAGATGGGTAGGAGGTAGGTGGCCATATTTTTGAAACATCCATGGATGATTTCAAAGTATGGCACACTTTGGGATCCACTGTTGTAATAACTGGGGCTTCCCCGGGTGGCGCTAGAGGTGAAGATTCTACCTGCCAACGTAGGAGATGCAAGAGACTCCGGTTCTATTACTGGGTTAAGAAGATCCCCTGAAGAAGGAAATGGCAAGCTACTCCGCATTCTTGCCTGGGGAATCCCATGGACAGAGGAGCCTGGCGGGCTACAGTCCATAGGGTTGCAAACAGTTGGCAACGATTGAGCATAACACAGCAGCAGTTGTAGTAAAGAATTCTGCAACCTCGCCCCTGCTGTGCTGAGCTCTATCACCCCTTGCTTGAAAATCTTAGGATAAAGAGGAAGGAAAAAATCAGTCTAGAGAATTTAGCATTTAAAGGAACTTGGAATATAGTTCTTTTTACATGGCTTTGAAACTCACAAAAGAAATGAAATCATATTCCTGTGTTGAAAAATATGAGCCTAAATGTATCTGATCTAAATAACTTAAATGTATCTGATGTAAAATATGTAATAATTTTAAGACATGCTTACCACTATGTATTTACACTTACTGACGGTGATGCTTTAGAAGAATATAGGGCTCTGATAATAGCTTCTGTAGCTTTTCACCAGTATTTAGGCATAATCTTGCTTATATTAATATAAATGAAGGAAAATTGAAGCAAACTGAGCCATACCAGAATATTTTCACAGTCTAACAATTGAATTTTCTATAATCTGATTTTTTTTGGAAAATCACTCAACCATGACCAGCTATACTTGGAGACTGATGTCAGCAAGATGGCCAAATAATATGCCCCTCATTGGTATCCACTATTCCCCACCCCTAACAACAATTTGGCCTCCATCCACAGACATAAGTGCTTTTCTGGGGGCAGTGGGATCTACAAACATATGTCAAGGGACCCGGTAAGGGTTTTGCATGCCTGTGCATTGGGTAAAAGACAAAAGGATCTTGGTTCCAGCTGTGAACCCTGAAGTAACTTGTCAACCAGCTTCAGCCTTTCTTGGCTGTGGTCTGGGAACCCTTGGAAAATACTGACTTAGACAGTTAGCTTTAGACAAGGAAATCCTGGTATTTGTGACAACACAGGTGTACCCTGAGGGCATTATGCTAAGTGAAATAAGTTATACAGAGAAAGACAAATACTGTATAGCTTACATGTGGAATAGAGACCAAGCCCTGCCACAAGGGAAGCCACCACAACGAGAAGCCTGTACACGGCAACGAAGAGTAGCTCCCGTTCGCCACAACCAGAGAAAGCCCATATGCCACAACAGAGACCCAGTGCAGTCAAAAACTAACTAAATAAATAAACTAATTAAAAACTCAAAACTCATGGAAACAGAAAAAAATGGTGGTGGCCAGGCGCTGGAGAGAGGGGGAAACTCATCTTCCAGTTACAAGATGAGCAACTGCTACGGTCTAACGTACAGCATGGTGACGATAGCTAACACTACTCTATCATGTACTTGAAAGCTGCTAAGGAAGTAGATCTTAAATGTTCTCACCACAAAAAAGAAATGGTGATCAACTGAGGGGACGGAGGTGTTAACTAACCCTACCGTGGGCACCACTTTCTAACACGTGCATGTGTGTGTTAGTTGCTCAGTCGTGTCCAACTCATTGCAACGCCATAGACGGTAGCCCGCCAGGTTCCTCTGGAATTCTCCAGGCAAGAATACTGCAGTGGGTTGCTGTTCCTTTCTCCAATTTTGTAATTAAGTATATCAAATCATCAAGGTGTATATCTTAAACATATATAATGTCAATTATATCTTAATAAAGCTGGGTGGGGGGAAAGACCAGTTGTAGGCCAAACATATAAGCTTGACATGTAGCAGGATCTCAATAGCTATTTATTACATGACTATGAAGCCCACAGAGTCGGAAATTTGGAAAGAAGAATATGATATGCAAATGTTAGTGTTCATTTGTAAACTGAGTATAAAACGACAGCTTTCTTTTCTCCGAATGAGAATTATGAGATCAATTTACAATATTTCCACATTATAAGTTATATTTTAGGGGGGAAACCCTTCATTTATAAAACATTCAAATTAATGATGAATTTTTAAATGTTTCTAGGAGAAACTATCCAATTAGCTGTGGCAGACATTCAAAAAATCCTTCAAGATTTTAAGATAGCCCTGTCTAATAGAACTTCTTATGGTGACAGAAATGTTCTATATCTACACTGCCCAATTTGGTAAACAGTAGCCCTATTAAGCCTTTGCAATATGGCTAGTGTGACTGAGGAAATGAATTTTTAACTAAATTAACCTAAATTAAAATTTAATAACCACAAGTGTTGGTGGCTACCATAATGGACAACAAAAGTTAAAGGCAAGACCTTAATAAAGTACAAAACAGCTTTTTCTGACGTTCTAGGTAAGAAATAATCTTTTGCTATTATCAGAGGTGACTGGTC